AATATACTAGACCTATTGCTTATAGTATCTGAGATATGGACTTGACCACCAAAATTTAACCTTGTTCACTGATCCATGAAATGAGGTCGAGGTCAAGTGAAAACTGTCTGACGGGCATGAGGACCTTGCAAGATACGCACATACCAAATATAGTTATCCTATTACTTATAATAAGAGAGAATTTAACATTACAAAAAATATTAGCTTTTTTTTCAAGTAGTCACTGAACCATGAAAATGAGGTCAAGGACATTGGACATGTGACTGACGGAAACTTCGTAACATGAGGCATCCATATACAAAGTATGAAGCATCCAGACCTTCCACCTTCTAAAATATAAAGCTTTTAAGAAGTTAGCCAACGCCGCAGCCGGATCACTATCCCTATGTCGAGCTTTCTGCGACAAAAGTCGCAGGCTCGACAAAAAGGAGTTCTTAATTAAGAAATAAACTGATTTGCTGAGCGCAGCTGGATACACCCGCAGAGGTCCAACCCTGAACAGTTGGGGCAAAAATGGACACAATATTCAAGCTTGATACAGGTCTGAATTTGGATTGTAATTAAATATTTGACATATTATAGTTTCTGAATAAATGTAGTCAAATAACTTGAAATCGATTATATGAATTGAATTTATATTCAATTAAAGATTTCTTGCTGTTGTGCAATACACTGTGCTGTTGCGCAATACTTAATAAATCTGTTGCCAGACTATAAACAAATAAAGTTCAATTTCTTCTCAATGTCATATTTGAAATTTATGAAAATCAATAGGGAGATTACATCAATAGCTATAAATAATTCACCAAAGTTTCATGCGTTTTTGAGTTGTTGTCCAAAAACTGGAAAATCCCCGCTTTTTTAATGAATAAAACCCCATAACTCAGAAATGTAAAATCTAAAATTTATAAAATTCTAAAGGGAGCTTACGGATTGATAATTTAGTCTTAGATGCAAGATTTTTTTATCAGTTGTAAGTGGCTTTGAACTAGCTGTCAGTAAATGTGAGTACTCTCAGATCTGTACTTAGTGTCTTTTTGTTGTTTGGATGTACATGTACAACTACCCGGCCTCGTCCACTTGTATTTGTATTTATCCATCTGATGAGTTAAGCCTCTTTCAACTGATTTTTATAGTTCATTCTTATATTGTACTGTTACACCACTGTCCCATGTTAGGGGGTGGGTTGGGATCCCGCTAACATGTTTAACCCCGCCACATTCTGTATGTACATGTATGTGCCTGTCCCAAGTCAGGAGCCTGTAATTCAGTGGTTGTCGTTTGTTTATGTATTGCATATTTGTTATTCGTTCATTTTTTGTACATAAATTAGGCCGTTAATTTTCTTGTTTGAATTGTTTTACATTGTCATTTCAGTGCCTTTTATAGCTCACTGTGCGGTATGTGCTTTGCTCATTGTTGAAGGCCGTACTGTGACATATAGCTGTTAATTTCTGTGTCATTTGGTCTCTTGTGGAGAGTTGTCTCATTGGCAATCATACCACATCTTCTTTTTTATATTTACATCAACAGATATAAACAATTCACCAAAGGTCAAGGTGAGACAACAAAACTTAGTTGTAAGATCTCTGAAATTTTTTACACGGTACAAGTTTTTCTAATTGTTGGAGATTGCACGGTGACAGTAACACCTGTAACTGCTTTACCCATTTCTTATGCACTTTGGTTCGATAAACTCACTGAATATCATACCACATCTCCTTATTTTATATGCATTACAATTTACATGTGCATGTAATTGTAAATAATATTTATATATATATATCAGAACAAACTTCATTGCGTCACTTTTATTTATGCATCCTTTGGCACAATACAAGTTCTAAAATTACACAACATAAAACAACTAAATGTTATTTCAGATGAAAGTTTTGTTTCAGTTCCATTCATAGGATTTATTAGAATTTTGTATGTTTTGCCAAGTCCAATAATTAGCTCTATGTGCACGTGTTAATTGGAGACTTTTCTATCCCGTATAAGAGTTTTGGAACTAATTCTGTTTCTTTTTTTGAAAAAAGTGAGCAAACAAATCATGCACATTTAAACCTTTGTCTGCCATCACACTGTCACCTGGATCACATAATTGAACTATTCTACATCTTTCAACTATTTCACAGTCACTGGTACAACCAACATATGCATTAGAGACATAGTTGACTAAACCACCAGGAGTCGAACATACAAGTATTTTCAGTGTTTCTGTTTTTATATGATGAAAAGGTTGCCTGAGCTCTAGGAGCTTTAGGTTTTATCACGGGATATTCTGTGCTGTCAATAATAATCCAAGTTGTAGGAAACTTTAATTTGAAGATGGATGGCGAAAAATACCTGACTAAACCACTAAATGGCCAAGTGTTAGCCTCACGCCACTGTTTAGACATAAAAACAATCCATGTTTACACAATATTCTTAACACTAGTTTCAATCTAGAATCTAGACAGTTCAAAGTTGGTTGTATAATGCCTCAATTTCATCAAAGTCATAAAAAAACTGATTTTCAAATGACACCCTATCAATTTGAAAATATATGTATCTCAAACAATGTGCTGCTGGACCAAGTGTGGTCAAAACAAATAAAAATTAAGTATACAAGTTACAACTCTAAACCGGTATATAAATGCATGGCTGTGTCACGTGTCTTCATTTCAAAATTCTCTGCTGAAAATATAGGCATTGATGGTGTTTGCGTAATCTGTGAAGCTCAACATTAGCTCGGCAGTTGGTGGTGGACAGTCATAAATCATGTCTGCAGTATGAATGACTTCTTCAGGAAAACCAACTTTACAATCAAAACTTTCCTCTAGATTTCTACTACAATATTCATCAAGTTTAGTTCTTTTGTTTTCACAGGAAACTGCCCTGATTTTTCTTTTTGCGGACGATTCAGTCTCTTGCTTGGTCCAGGAAAATAGGCTGGGAATGGCAGTAAACTTAAGTCTCTGTATGGTGGGTTTGCACCCTGAAAAAGGTTATAAAACATTAGTTTTTTGATAATTAAATGAACTTTCATTAGCAATGCATACTTTATACTACCTGGCAAAATATTAACTAGATTTATTCATTACAATCTGGATAAAAATATGTTAGCCTGATTCAATGTACATCAAAATGTATGTTATGTAAATCCAAAGGACAAACAATGAGAGATGTATGCAACAAACATACATTGTTTGTACCTAAATAACTATAATATAGATGAGAGCATGTCATTGTTTTGTTCCTGTTAACATTGTCATTGACATTTTTCAAGAAAGTCTATGAGGCATAGCTTATGCATTCCTGTCATTACTACATTAGCATAATTACTGCTAAAATAATTCTCAGTATGATATACCTCTTGTAAGAAATCATTATAATTGTAGCAAGCACCAAAAAATCTCAAACAGATCACATTGAATCGTAATCCAAAAAATTCTAACCACCCCCTTTTATTCTAAAACGAAAATTGCGGTTGTAAACAGACTTTGGTTATTTCGCATGGCGATTACATATATAACTATATTAAAAAGAAAATAGAGTTTTACCATGAATAGTTTCCTGCACGTAGTCTTAAAGTCTCTTTTTCAGTAAAATGTGCCTTTGAAACAACAGCTGATTGAGATGGACTCCACGATTTCATCGTGTTCTCGTCCAATCTGCGTATGGGCCATGGCGTTGATCCAACTTTTCCTTCTTTTTAAGTCATTTGGAAATGCATGTCCTCCTCTTAAATGACATCCAGGTACACAACAACAAGTACTTGGCATCGTTAATTAAAAATGCAACTGTAATAGTTCCACAGTGCAGAAACCGGAAGTTGAAGAACAGGATCGGCTACCACGGCGCCACCTATTCAGGAACGATAATTTGCTACTTTATATAACTGCGAAATAACAATAACGTTAGACGGGTTCGCGTGCATAAACAGAAATGCGCTTTAAATTGTATAATATAATTCATGTTCAGTCGACCTTTAATTATTATATCAACGACTGAAATGATTTATAAACATCTAGATTGCAGATAACATTCGAAATTAACCCGTCCTCTTTCCACACGGAATTCAAATAATTCTAGTTTGTCAATCGGTTGACTGCTTATATTGTAAAAAACAAATATATCAAAAGTTTTTAAAACTAACAAAACACAATGATCGTTTCTCTATTTCCCAATGTAAAAGAAATGAAACAAAAAACATTTTATATCACAATAAGAAGAGGAGAGAATCAACATTTTCCGGATCTACTTGGAGCCTAATGACCCCCCACGTAGATAAGTTGGATATCGCGGAAAGAAAGATTAACACGGCAACTAGAAAGGCATTAAAGCACTGCCTTTAAAAACCCATACCGTATAGTCGGCTATAAAAGGCCCCTACATGAAAAATATGGTGTAATGGTCAGTTCATTGTACACGTATCTCAATTGGTAAACACACCAAAGATACTAGGCTCCTAATGAAGTACGTCAGACTTGCGTTTATTCTACACAAGATCCATCACTTGTGCTCGAATCAAAGCACTTAGAAGGCAAAATCAATTTAAAATTTTGAAAAGCACTCAAAACATAAGTCCAGACATTTCACATAGAAAACAGATTATAGATATTACAGTTATGCATCTGAAATAAGATTGACAATAGCAGTTAAAAGCTGCTGCTCTGACGCGAAAATCATTTTATATGCCTGTTTCAACGCCAGACTGTTGAAGCAAACGGCAGAAAAGATGGTAGAGGGCGGGTATCGCGATGCTGGTTATGAGTACTTGGCGGTTGACGATTGCTGGATGGCACCTCAGAGAAATATCAGTGATGGAAGATTGGTGGCAGACCCACAAAGATTCCCTTGTGGTATGAAACCTGTTATAGACTACGTATGTACACATATACAAATAGATGCCATTGGTTTTTAAATTCTTAAGTCAATTTATAAATTTAACTTTATGTTCTAAGAAAACAAACATGTGTATGAAAATTATCCAATTCCTGGAATGATACCATGCGCTATTCATGGAATGATATCATGCGCAATTCATGGAATGATACCATGCGCAATGCCTGGAATGATACCATGCGCAATGCCTGGAATAATACCATGCGCAATTCATGGAATGATACCATGCGCAATTCATGGAATGATACCATGCGCAATGCCTGGAATGATACCACACGCAATGCCTGGAATGATACCATACGCAATGCCTGGAATGATAGCATGCGTAATGCCTGGAATGATACCAGGTGCAATGCCTGGAATGATACCATTCGCAATTCATGGAATGATACCATGCGCAATTCATGGAATGATACTATGCGTAATTCATGGAATGATACCATGCGCAATTCATGGAATGATACCATGCGCAATGCCTGGAATGATACCACACGCAATGCCTGGAATGATACCATACGCAATGCCTGGAATGATAGCATGCGTAATGCCTGGAATGATACCAGGTGCAATGCCTGGAATGATACCATTCGCAATTCATGGAATGATACCATGCGCAATTCATGGAATAATACCATGCGCAATTCATGGAATGATACCATGCGCAATTCATGGAATGATACCATGCGCAATGCCTGGAATGATACCACACGCAATGCCTGGAATGATACCATACACAATGCCTGGAATGATACCATGCGTAATGCCGGGAATGATACCAGGTGCAATGCCTGGAATGATACCATTCGCAATTCATGGAATGATACAATGCGCAATGCCTGTTGTTCATGTATCAAAAATTATAACATTCCAGATTCATATAGCAAGTTTCTTGACAAGGAATTTTAAAAAAAAACTCGAATATTTTCAGATGACTCTTTAGTGGACTGTAAGATGTATGGTACAGTAACCAAAACTCTTGGTAGTTTTCCTACATCATTAAACTCTGCTTAACTCACTATTCCTGAAATTGTTCTTATGGTGTACTGTTTAACCACTGTCCCAGGTTAGGGGAGGGTTGGCGCGCCTTCAAACTAGTTTAACCCCCCCCCCCGCCACATTCTCTCTATGTACCCCAAGTCAGGAGCCTTACATTCAGTGGTTCTCGTTTTTTGCTGTATATATCATAATTGTTTTTCGTTCATTGTTTTGTACATAAATCAGGCCGTTAGTTTTCTCGTTTGAATTGTTTTACATTTGTCGTTTCGGGGCCTTTTGTAGCCTTTTGTAGCTGACTATGCTGTATGGGTTTTACTCATTGTTGAAGGCCGTACGGTGACCTATAGTTGTTAATTTCTGTGTCATTTGGTCTCTTGTGGAGCGTTGTCTCATTGTCAATCATACCAAATCTTCTTATTTTTATAACACAGTATACATTTTGGTCTACTTTTTATATACTGTCTGTAGTACATGGCACTGGACTCCATTTGTCGTTCTTTACAAGTCAATGAATAAAATAAAAGAAGTACACTTGTTTAAAATTAAATAGAAAAATGCGCGGGACTCTCTTTAATTTTATCACCATATCAACCTATTTTTTCCTTGGAAACGGAGTTATTATTAGTAGAATTCAATTTCTGAAGTATAAGAACTTTAATGTCCTCAATTGTTTCCAAACCTTTCAGAAAATACAGCAGTGGAGCAAAGACACAGCTCTAAATAATGTTCTTTTTATAAGCCTTTAAGGATGTATACTAGTATATGTTTGTTTACTAGTATATGTTTGTTTACTAGTATATGTTTGTTTTTTTTTAGCTGCATGTGCAGTTAGTGGTTGGAGACTATGGTTTAAGTCTAAATCAACAGAAGATCCAGATGGGAATGTGGGCTCTGATGGCGTCACCTCTATTTATGTCTGTAGATTTAAGGAATATTGATAACGAGTTGAAGATGATTTTATTGAACAAAGAAGTGATTGCAATTAGCCAAGATCCACTTGGTATTCAAGGAAGAAGAATGTTCAAATATTCGGTCGGTGTAAGTATGGGTTTACGTTTATGTACAGTGTATATAGTAACTTTCAGCATACCATTGCGGTTTTAATGGAGAAAATCAAGCAATATGAGAATCCTGATTCTTCACATCAAATTTGAAAAAAGTAAAATGACAAAAATACCGAACTCCAAGGAAAATACAAATCGGAAAGTCCCTTATCAAATGGCAAATCAAAAGCTCAAACACATCAAACGAATGGAAACAACTGTTATAATCCGTACTTGGTACAGACATATCCTTATGTAGAAAATGGTGGATTAACCCTGGTTTTATAGCTAGCTAAATCTCTCACTTGTTTGACAGTCGCATAGAACTCCATCATGTTGACAACAATGTGTAAGCAAAACAAACAGACATAATAGGTAAAAATGTCAAAAATGGGGTACAGCAGTCAACATTGTGTTATTTTCTACATAAGAAAATGCCTGTACCAAGTCTGGAATATGGCAGTTGTTTTCCATTCATTTGATGTGTTTGAGCTTTTGATTTTGCCATTTGTTAAGGGACTTTCCGTTTTGAATTTTCCTTGGAGTTCGGTATTTTTGTTAAAATTGTTTTACTTTTTATAATCTTAATCACCATAAAACAAACAACTATGTTAACAAAGAAAAACAATATGGCATATAGACACTCCTATAGACAAAGCACATAAGCAAAAATGAAAGACAAAATACAAAACTAGAGACTCTCAAGAGCCTGTGTCGCTCACCTGTATCTTCTGTGGTTTTGGAAATCATGTAAAAAAAGGTTAAAATCATATAGATACCCTAATAATGATTGAGGCCAAGTTTGGTTTAATTTGGTTAAGTAGTTAAATCAAAAGCAGAAGATTTTTGAAAAGATTTACAAAAATTACCAATAAATTGCAGAAATTAACTTTAGAGGACAATTACTCCAATAAGATGTCAATTGCTAATTTGTCATGCTAACTTATTTGTAGATCTTTCTTTGCTTGATATTTTTGCTGTTTACAGTATATCTCAATCTAAAATGATATTCAAGATAATTAACAAAAAATAAAAAAAATTCCTTTCCTCCGCTCCAAAATTTATTTCACCCAGGGCCTGCATAATGTTGAAAATGCCTTTAAATGTTTTTATGGAACACCCTTCCAAATAAATTTGGGCAGGGGTTTCTTTGACCCAAACTAACCCCCCGGATCTGGGGGGCATTCACCCAGTATAAGTATGCTGAAAGAAAAGATATAATAATAGTTTATAGAAAAAGTAACACTGAATAATTCTGAAAATGGAACATATCAAGGAGAAATTATTAGCACACCCCTGAAAATATTGCACCCCCTGGAAAAAAATCAAGTCATCCCATTGTAGTCTTACAATAGTTAATGAAGACCCCTTATCATTATTTAAATTAGTTTTCAAGTTGTGACCATTTGAAATTGTTTTTTTACATTTTCCCATAGACTTCTATTAATAACCGTAGAGTAGATTGTCTTATGTATGCTGATGATGTCGTAATTTTTTCAGAAACACAGGAAGGTTTGCAAAAGAGAATTAATATGTTACATGAATATTGTTTAGAATGGTGTTTTGATGTTAATCTAAAAAAGACAAAAAGTATAATTTTTAACAAGCCAGGAAAATTCTTAAAATATATGCTGTTTACATTTTGGAGGTAAAGAGATAGAATGTGCAAAATTATATAGATATCTTGGAATCACATTTACATCTAGTGGTATATTCAAGCAGTGTAAAGGTGAATTATACAACAAATCTTTAAAAGCATGTTTTAAGCTACAGAGATGCTTGTCATCATCTAACCCTAGTATTGCCACTTTTTTACATCTTTATGATCATACAATTAAACCCATACTATTATATGGCAGTGAAATATGGGGAATGTTGCGTACTGATTCAGCTGCATGTAAAAAAGATAATGATTATATATTGGAAAAAGTTTTTGGTCAGGATTCCTCTGAAAAAGCTCATAACAAATTTATGAAATATATTCTTGGTGTAAACAGAAAGTCCAGTAACATAGCGGTGATGTCAGAGCTTGGTAGATTTCCTATTTATTTTACTATAATTTTATCAATGTTAAAATATTGTCATAGACTGGAAGGTTTGAAAGAAGGATTATTATTTGATGCATTCATATGTTGTAAACAATTACATATTTCTAATGTAAATACATGGTACTCTAGTATAGATTATATTCAGAGAGAGATTGATTTACCAAATTTTGACCAATCAATTGGTTCTTTATGTCAGTATGTTAAAAATAAACTATGTGAAAGTTATTTAACATTTTGGAATAGACTGAAGTATTAAACAATTAACTCTGAAAAAGGGAAGCTTGGTACTTATTTTTCTATAAAAAATTGTTTTAAAAAAGAAAAATATTTAGAACTACAGGATTTTATAAAAAAGACAGTCAATTTGTAAATTAAGAATAAGTGCTCACTCTTTAAAAATTGAAACAGACAGATATTCAAAAAAATATATAGAAAGATCTGAGCGTCTTTGTTCAAATTGCTCACTTGGTAAAGTTGAAGATGAGCTTCATTTTTTGTTAGAATGTCCTCTTTATGATACTCAAAGGGAAGACTTTTTTCAATACATATCTGACAATTGTTATAATTTTAAAAATTTAAATAAATCTTCTAAATTTTTATGGCTCTTGACTCAAGAAAATGTAACTCTTATGGAAAAACTGGGCTGTTATATTTGTGACTGTTTTGAATTAAGGAGATCAGGTATGCATATTGACACTAAGTCAAGTAAATGATTTGAGAATGAATGCATATAATGTAATTTTATTCTTTTATTCACAATATATATGTGGTTTTTGGCTCTGATTCTGACGAATGCTAATATACTAAATATATATTTTCAAGTGACTATTATTATTGTTGTTACCAATTATGTAAATCAATTGTATCTGATTTTATGCCCTTTATGGGCCCTGTAATTTGGGAAATAAAATATTCTATTCTATTCTATTCTATTCTATAGTCAACCCCTATGTTCTATTTTTACCAATGGGGACCATGTTGGTTGAAGGCAGGGTCATCGGATACACTTTTCAATCAAAATACTCTAATAATAACTGTGGCTAAGTTTAATTCCATTTGGCCAAGTAGATTAAGAAGAGAAGATTTTTGTAAAGATTAAAAAAATTGACCTGATGAACATTTTAACCCCGTTAGATGATTTCCTCTTAATGTTTTAGCTTCAGAGATATAAGCCAAAAACTGCATTTTACCTCTATGTTCAATTTTTAGCCATGGCGGCCATCTTGGTAGGTGTGCGCGGTCAACGGATACATTTTTAAAACTAGATACCCTAAGGATGATTTAGGCCAAGTATGTTAACTTGGCCCAGTAATTTCAGGAGAAGATTTTTTGTAAAAGATTACAAAAATTTACTAAAAATTGTAAAAAAAATTTACTTTAAAGGGCAATACCTCCTTAAGGGGTCAATTAACAATTTTGGTCATTTTACTTATTTGTAGATCTTACTTTGCTGAACATTTTTGCTGTTTACAGTTTATCTCTATCTATTATAATATTCAAGATAATAACAAAAAACTGTAAAATTTCCTTAAAATTACCAATTCACGGGCAGCAACCCAACAACGGGTTGTCTGATTCGTCTGAAATTTCAGGGCAGATAGATCTTGACCTGATGAACTTTTCCTCTATGTTAGATTTGCTCTAAATGCTTTAGTTTCAGATATAAGC